CTTCTTATAGAATGTCTTACATGTGCTGTAAAACTCTCTGAGGTAGAGTGATTACTATCTTTTCTTTCCGGATGAGGAAGCTGAGCCCTCGAGAGGGTAAGGAGCCTGCTGTAAGTGATAAAGACAGGGTAAGAACCCAGGCTCTCTGGCTCCAGCTCTCTGCTCCTGACCACTGGCTATTTTGCCTCATCTATGTTTGTACAGGAGCTCCCGGCTTCCTGGTCACCATTTCCATCATATGAAAAAAACATGCCTTTGATAAAAAAAGGAAAGTACATCTTTCTTTTTAGTTCTTCATTCACCTTCCTTTGTGGTTCCCTTTTTCCTTTGAGCACGCCCCTTCCTGTTTTTGCTGAGACTCCATTCTTCCTGGAATGCAGTAAATTTCGTTGCTGTAGCTGCAGCAGCAACAACAAAAAACAAACAAGAAAACTCAAACTTTGCAGAAGAACACCTCTGAAATCTATGTCCACAGATTTTTCTTGTTGAGAATATGATGGTCTTTTGCAAAAAATTGCTCAGTTTGTCTCTATTCCAAACTTTAGTGAGCAACTGCCAAAGATGATATTACTTGTTCTGGACTGAAGCCATCTTAGCTGTTCAGGTAAGCTCATTGGTGGAGTAAAAGATGCTCTGAATTGAAATTCAGAAGACTTGGCTTTTAGGCCTCACTTTGTCATTTAGCTGTGTGACATACAGCAAGTCATTTAACCTCTCTGAACCCAAGTCTCTTCATCTATGAAATGAGATAATAGCTTTCCCTTGTGAACAGTCATCTTGAATTGTAAAACATCTTCCTATCATAAAGGAATTACTGTGTCATACTTCTTTTAGGAAAAGGAAAGAACATGAAATAGAACATTTCCGTTAATACTTTCAAGGAGAATGCTAGAGAAACACTCCTCTATCTAATTAGCTGGCCAGTGCATTGAATACATTGAGTAAATTTCCAAATGGCCGATGTGTGATGGAGCTCAGGGAAGGTGGGGGTGGGGGGAAGAAGAAGGAAAAAAGTGAATAATTTCTCTTCTTTAGTCTTTGGATTGAATATGCTGGCATAGCAAGAGTGAGGGGCTTATGTGAAGCTTGCTATTCTCCCTTCTCAGCAATCCTTAGGGATAGGAAATTGATTTTTTTCTTATGTTTCAATTCAAATTTACTGACAGTGCCTGCCAGGAACACCTTATTGAGGCCGTGCCAGGCTCCCTGGGAAACAGGCCGGGATGAATCTGAAAGGTTGGGAGGGTAAGGCGGCCTTACTTGACACGCATTTGCCCTCCTTTCCCTAGACCTGAATTCTGATGATGGGAAAGATATCCAGAGTAAGGGAATTTAGAAATCTCGGCTTGGGGACTCTTGCTGTTTTCCTATGTTTTCACATTACAAAGCATGGGGGTTGAAAGCTGACTTTCTCATGATGAGAGGCAAAAGCTATAAGAGTTAATTCACAGAGTTCACCCACCAGCTCATGTTAGGTGTAGCAATTTGTAAAACAGGCCCTGTTCTTCACCATCCTTTCTACACGCGCCTTTCAGGTCTCTGTGACTTTGGAAGTGCCAAGGATCTTTGAAGATACCTTTTGAACTGTCAGAAGATGTTGAACAACCTTAGCGACACTCTTGCCTGGGAACAGGCTGGGCCCTAGAGAAGGTCTTTAGGACAGAGAAGTACCTGTTAGTAAATTCTCCAGTGTGTTAGCACAGATTTATTTTCAATTTACACCAGTCCATGGGTCATATTTCATATTTGTTCCTCCTTCGGGGCATTTTTGCCAGCTTTCCTGCTTTGCTAGTCACTGACATTTTTCTGGATACTTCTGTTTGTAATATAGTCCTGTGATTGTCTCTGTCACTCTCAGTCTAAGACGAAGGCTTGGTGGTTTGGACTTTGCTGCCTCAGAGGCCAGATTCATGTGAATCTAGCACTTGCTCAGCCTTTACGAATGTTCTGGGCACTTTCATGCACATAGCTCCTTAAAATTGTTTCATGTAGTTTTGCAAGGTACCTCTTACCGTTTTCCACTTTTTCCTGAGAAACTGAGTCTTAGAAGGGTTAGCTAGCTTGCCTAAGTCACATGACTAATGCCTGGCTGACCAAGGCTTATGCCCAAGCGTTCTCAGTTTAATCCCTGTGCTTTTTCCTTAAGCCACGTTGCCCAGCAGGTGACTATGATGAGCTTGTTGTCAGGATGTCCTGTGCAATCTAACTTTGTGGAGCAGAAGGTGAGGGACTCTCAGGCTTTCACGTGAGTTTCTTTCTCAGAGCTCGTTCACTCACGTTTTGACTACAAGGTGCCCTTGAGGTTGTCAGCTCCTGGAGCCTGCAAACTCCTGGCCCATTTAACACGCTGTTCTTGTGACAAATTACTTAACGGCAATCTATTGTATTTCCCTTCAAGCATTGTACTGAGCGCTGAGGATTGAGCAGTGAAGAAAAGACAAAGTCCACGCTCTCAGGAAGCTTTTTCAAGTATAGGAGACAGGAAATAAATAACATCATGTCAGATAGTGATAATCCCTCTAGGATAAACAAAGCAGTATATGAGGATTCCCAATGATGAGGATACTCTGTTAGATGGAGAAAAGAGGGAAAACCTCTCAGAACAGGTGGCATTTGAGGCTAAACTTGAATAATGTGAGCAGCGGGTCTCATGAATATCTAGATGGAAAGTGTTAGAGGAAACATGCAGTGCAAGGGCCCTGAGGGAGAAACATATTTGATGTGCTCAAGGAATGGCCAGAAGGCTGACTGGCTGGGGTGGGCGAGGGAAGGGTAGAAGGAAACAAAATAGGAGTGGTATCTGGGGGAAGTGGGCATAACCATATAAGACATTTTAGACAATGGTGGGGGCTTAAGATTTTAAGTGTGATGGCAATCCATTGGAGGGTTTGAGCTGAGATGTGATGTACTGTTTTTATTTTATTTTTTATAAGATTTTATTTTTCCTTTTTCTCCCAAAGCCCCCAGTACATAGTTGTGCGTTTTTAGTTGTGGGTCCTTCCAGTTGTGGCATGTGGGATGCCGTCTCAGCATGGCTTGATGAGTGGTGCCATGTCTGTGCCCAGGATTTGAACCGGTGAAACCCCAGGCCACTGAAACAGAGCGCGCAAACTTAACCACTCAGCCACGGGGCTGGCCCCTGATGTCCTGTTTTTAAAAGGCTCTGTCAGCTGTACTGATAACAGACTGTGGGGTGGTGGGCTGTGAAGGAAGACAGGCCAATCAGGAGGCTGCCACAGAAGACCAAGTGGACACGTTGGTGGACTTGGGTGATAAGAAGAGCCAGAATTAAAAATGTATTTTGAAGGTAGGCTACATAAGATTTGCACATGAATTAGATCTTGGGGGTTTGCAAGGGTTAGTTCACCCGCTCTGGCTCAAGGCCAACACTCTCATCTGTGTCCTTGCAATTGGTGGCTAAGGCCCCTTGGCTATGACCTGGTGAACTGTCAGGAGGTAAACATCGTGGTGTGTACTCATTCTCAGACCCACAACTTCTTGATCTGGGACTATTAGATCCTCTCCTTGTTGAGGGTGTCCTCTCCAGGCAGGTGTAACTTTGCTGCATCTTCTGTTAGGCATTGCTGTCTGCTATATGTGGGAAGCTGAGATTACTAAGATACACATCACCTGCTTTCTGCCCTTATGCGCTCTTAATCCAACAAGAGAGGCTATGTTACAAGATGGAGTGAACGAAATGCTATAGTCGAGGTGAAGAGTGCTCTGAGGAAACAGAGATGTGAGTGAGTGATTTTAACTTTGCTCAGAAGACTAAACATCAGGCTTTGATAGGGGAAGTGGTAAGGGATCTGAGCTTCAAAAGAGACTCTCCGCTTTCACATCCATGGCTGCTCATGGCCAGTTTCCTAATTCCTTGCCCTGGCCCTGTCTCACTCTGTGGCTATTGGCTTCCTTTATTTATTGTTCCATAAATGAGTAATTCCTCTTCAGTCTAGAGGCGGGGGTGGAAGAAGCGTGCGTTTGTCTCAGTGACTAAGACTGCGTGCCAAATTAGAATGGAGGCCCGAGGCTATTCTCTTGCCCAGTGACTGTAATCATCGAGTGAGCCTTCACTGCCTAGTGACTCATCAAAGCCACGACAGTGAGGGAGCCTGTTAGGACTTTATACAGTAACATGAAACTTGTGAAATCCCTAACCCAGGAAGCTTGGGCCTTGGGGCCTCCAGAAGACCCTATTAACCTTGCTCTGGGGGCTGCCTTATAGATTTCTGACCTGCCAGGGAAGAGCACTTCCCGTCATTGCTCATCTCAGACTGAGGCAAGTTCTGTGTTTGCTTATTTCCTGCAGGGCTCTCTCCCCCTGGTTCACTGTTTTCTCAGGCTTGACCAAGCATTCCTTTGTCATAGAGAGACAAACATTGTCAAGACAAAAGGCCTAAGTTTCCAGATGCTGTCAAGGCCCAGATAGATTCTCATGCAGAATTGTAGATCTGTTTACAGTGTCCATGCTTCATGCAGAGTATGAATTTGTTGTTATATTATTATCAAGGGTCATTAGCTGATGCTGATGTTGATATGAGAGACTCGTATTTTTGGGAAAAAGCAGTTTGCATGGACTTTTCGGGAGTACTTGCCAGCTAATTTTGTTGTGAGTTGTATGTATGTGTCTCTCCCCTATTGGACTCTAAGATCCTAGAGGACAGAGAGTGTGTCTCACTCATTTTTTTCTTCCGGTCTTAGAATAATTGTGAACACATCATGCTTCAAATTGAATCTTGGTTATTTTGTTAAACTCCTCTTTGCCTTAGTCCTTTAGATATGAAATAGAAAACATACATAGGTTACAAAGTTGTTGGAAATCTTAAACAAGATAATACATTTATAAATGCACTTAGCACTGTGCCTGAATTCACAGTGAGCGCTCAATAAACAGGATGATTGTTATCGTATGGTAAGTGCTCAGTAACTTCATATTGAATGGGCGGAGGCTTTTGGAGACTAGAGTTCTGTTGCAGGAAGTGAGTTCTACAACTGCCACACAGGAACAAGGCAAGTGCTAGGTGCCCTCATCCCAGGCCTGCTCCTTTTCTAATAGGTAAGAGCTGGGCTGTGGTTGGTGAAAAGTGTCAGGTTTGTTTTGATTCTGCCCCAATACCAGGTCACTAGCCTACGAGAGGAATTTGCAAACATTGAGAAACTCCTTCTTCCTTGTAGCATTGATATTGGCTCAAAACAAGGTTGACATAAGGGAAGCCATATTGTAGAAAAAAACCAAATTGTAACTTTGAATGACTTCTGATTAACTCTGACTTACCAGCCCCTTTGAATCTTTGCTTTAGTTTGCCTAGATAAGTAAGGGTCTGTCTTTGAGATTTGCAGGCTCTGCAGATTTTATGGCCCCTCCTAGCTGCGATAAGATGATAACTTTGTTCTTTTGAGTTCTTTAGGAATGTGATGACCCTGGGCAGAGAGTCTATGCTGATAGCCATCATCAATGACAACTGAAAGATCAGGGTATAGGATGTTGCTCCAGTCTCTGATGTATACCCAGTAAAATGTCCAGTAAAACAAAGAATATCAGGAACTAATACTAGATGTCTGTCCCCAACCGGAGACCAGCCCCTTATATAACCGGCCTATAGTCTTTGTTCTGTAAGATGGTTCTTTCAGACGTAAGTTGGCTCTCTTCCCTCTTGCTAGCAAGCTGTAATAAAAAACCCTTTCTCTCCTACCACCTTGCCTCCTGACTATTGGCATGTCTTGAGGCGGGCAGATGACCCACCTTGGGCGGTACCAGCACGAGGAATGTCAAAGGCTGGAACTGGACTAATGTTTGAGTTCCTTGTCTGGGAGGCTCGGTCCCATCAGCCCAAGTCATGGAATGGAGTAGAATAGGTTGACACTCCATCTCAATCCATTCCCATTTCGCTTACTTACACTTTTTTTCACGTGACTTTTGGTTGCTGAGTAGTGTCTGTCTAACGACATGGCATGAACTGCTATGAATAACGATAACAGGCAGAGCACATCTTCTCTGGTGTGAGGGTTTGGGTCTTCTTTAGGGTAGACCTCAAGTGACTGCGGGGTGGGAGAGGGGAATTCTGGATCAAAATAAAGCAACTCCTGTGGTTGCTTGTCTAGGGCACTCAAATACTACACTTAGATCAGGGTATGTGTGAATGTCTGTGTTTCACGACAGGGCCAGAACCCAAGAGTGTCCAGATAGGTCCTCATGTCAGCTTTACTCTTGGCACAATTTAATTGGAGGTAAAGATGGCTCCCAGTTGTAAAGTTCCCGCTATATACCTTACCTGGTCTAACCCTCACTGAAAGCCTGGAGTAGGTATTATTATCTCCTCTGTCCACATGAAAGAACAGAGGTTCAAGTAACTTTCCCAAGGTCATAGGATAGAAAGGATTTAAACTCAATCCTATAAGCTCTAGCCATACCACTTACCTCCCAGGAGGCCTGTCATTGATTAGAAAGTGAGCTTGCAGTATTACATGAAAATAATTTTAGTTTATTACAAGACTATTGAGCCTATTCCAGTCCTTTGACCATTCTCTGGTCACTAGTTTAATAACTTTTGTTAATAAAGGAAATGAAGTATTAATAATTTCAGAACAGCAATTTTCTGGGATTCTTCCGGTAAAATGAGACTGTTTATCTCTTTTGTGCTATGCAATACTGAAACATTCTCTAGTTGATACAGGGACATGTAGAACTATTTAAAAAATTCAATGCCTTTCACCCTTTTGGAGCTGTGATATGATTTATATATAGGCCAATGTGTGTTGACCTTCAACGTATTCACTGTGGGAGGTCAAATATTTATTTCAACTTACATCCTAGTTTATCCCTCACTTTGGAAATTATTTTCAAACCTAGCTAACAGCTATGAAAGAAAATCTGTCCTATTTAAAAAATAATTTCTTCTATTATTATTTCAAATACATGTGTAACATTCACTAAATTAAAGATCTGTTGCCCAGCTCATTTATATTCCAGATCATATGCTTTAGAGATGATGTGGGAAACTGAGATCTGTTGATTAAGATTCCTCCATTTACTACATATGGCATGCCTAATTAAAAATTGGGGATATTTTTATCCATTAAAACTCACCCACCTTCTTCCATTTTAGAAGACATTGTTAAGAGTGTTTCACCTTCAGATATGTCTAAATAAAGTTTAATTGGACCCAGTGTGGAAACCTACAACCTGTGTTACTGCTGATGAGCAGTGCTGCAAATCCTACTTTTGAATTTTTATTAGATCAATTTCATATTTGCTAAATGGCACACATGAGGTTTTTGTCACAATTTCAGTTCTTGAATTATGGAAAGAAATAAGACCTTTTTCTTATAAAGATGAGATAAAGACAACTGTCCAGGATATTATCCAGAAAGAGGCTCTGTAGTACTGAAAATTGTGGGCTGTGGAGTCAGACCACCTGATTTAAGTCCTGACTGTGCCACTACTGGTTGGTTACGAGTCCTTATGGAGCAACGTGACCTCTCTGTGCCTCCATTTCCTCATCTTTTTCCTGGTCTCTATTTTTGCTATTAAGAACTCTGTTATCAGTTTATTTATTTGCTGGGGAATCTGTCTTTTTCTCTTCTGGTGACTTTAAAATTCTTATGTTCAGTATCTTTGATAGTCTGCTATTTCTCTGTGATGAATATAGATGTAGATATTTTGTTTATTTTACTCAGAACTTTTGGTGTTTGTTCAATCTGAGATTTCATGTATTTTATTAATTTGGGAAATTTCACAGTCATTACCTCTTTGAATATTTCTCTGCTTCATTCTCATTCCTAATGTTCCTCGTGCACATATGTTGGATGTTCTTCTATTCTCCATATCTTTCAACACTTCTTACGATTCCATCACTTTATCACTCAGTGATATATCTTGGGTTATTTACTCAGCTCTATCTTTGTTAATTGATTTTCCCATCGACTATATTGAATTAGTTTCTTTTTCAATCAATTGGATTTTTAAAAATCAATGAATATATTTTTCAATTCCAGAAGTTCTATTTTTTTAGATTTCCTGCATTTTTTATGGTTTCTTATTCTTTATGATTTCCATTCTTTCTTTTATCTCTTTAGGCATTTAAAATAGTCTAAGCTTGTTCAGATTATTATTTATCATTCATAGGGGCTCTATTAATCTTACTTCTTCTGCTGCTGCTTGTTTTCTATCATGTTTTATAAATTTTGACTGTGAATCTCTTGCATGTCATTTTTCTCCCTGTAGGAATTTCACATGGCATTGGTGCAGAGCAGTTTTAAATTTTCTTTTGCCATATGTCTCAGTGGTATCAGCTTGGATTTTCATCACTCATGGGCACTATAAATTGGAATCCATACCCTAGATTATGTAGGCTTGAGATTTTGCTGGAAACTTTTTTTACTCACCCAGAATCAAAGATAGCAAAAAGATTATTGCTGTCTCCCTAAGAGAGCAGACAGAGTTTATCTAGCTCCCCACTTTCAGAGGGTGTAACACTTTGAGAGTCCTAGCTTTATACCTTCCAATTCCTGATCTCACACTGGTCTGATCTCCCTACATGGACATTAGGACCTGGGACCCCAGCAATTAGAGATCTCCTGAGTCCTGTACCTCCTGTATACCACTCATGCTGACCCCTGGCCATTGCAGGGTCAACTTATGTGTTTCCCACTCTTTTAGTTCCTGAAACCTAGACCTTTGAGTTTTTTCTAGCTACCTCAATAACGTATTTAAAAATGCTTTTGTTTTTATTTTATCCAGAATTTCTAAGCATTTGCAATGGGAGTAGTTATTATTGGTTCAGCCCATCATATTAATAAAACCATATGGCATTTTCTTGAAGGTTAAATTAGCTTTTGCATGTGTGAAATTTAGCATAGTACCTGACACTTACTCAGCTTGATGATATTTTCAATATTAGCCATTGCTACAGTATGATTTGCATAAAGTCAAAATGAAACTCAGGCTACTGCTGAAAGGAGGAAGAAGCAGCTTGAGAATATTTGTTTTTGGTTAATTCCACACAAAGTCCTTTGATAAGTCAGGATCGGGTATTGATAAGCATATATAAAGTTCATAGCACTGTTCCTGGAAGATCTCAATTTCCTCATCACATCCTCCCAATTAACATTGGATATCTCCGGTGGCTTCTTGTTTTCATCAGAACCTTCTCTTAACCACTTTACCATTTTTCATAAGAGTTTTTATTTTTTTTTAAGGATTGGCACCTGGGCTAACAACTGTTGCCAATCTTTTTTTTTTTTTTTTTTTCTGCTCCATCTCCTCAAACACCGCTGCCCACTCCCCGTACACAGTTGTATATCCCAGTTGCAGGTCCTTCTAGTTGTGGGATGTGGGATGCCGCCTCAACGTGGCCTGACGAGTGGTGCCATGTCTGTGCCCAGGATCTGCACCCTGGGCTGCCGCAGCAGAGCGCGTGAACTTAACCACTCGGCCATGGAGCTGGCCCCTCATAAGAGTTTTATGAAGAACATGGTTGAATTCTTTGCTTACCATGGTACATGGTGTCAAGTATATCTTTCACTAAACTACCCGTAAAATTAACATGATTTGCAAAGGTGACAGAAGATTTTTTTTCCAATAAAATGAAATCCAAGATAATCTCAGGGCAATGAACAAGGAAAAGCATCAATGTTAGCGCCTGCTTGACTATGTCTGTCATTTATCACAATTAGTGTCACAGGGCATTGGTGTTAAGCAGATAATGATAGTTTTCTTTGGCAATTAGTAAAGACATATTACAGTGTTCTGAAAATAAACAATATTTAACTCCATAAAAAGCTAGGGAACATTAAGAAATGTATTCTAGATTCTTTAATGGAAAGTGTTCTTTTAGCTTTTATGAATTTTTCAAATTTTTGTCATATGTATATTGAGGAAAAAGTATTTTTAATAAGATAATATAGAGTTATTTATAATTACTCCCAAAATGGAACTAACCTACAAGCAAAAAATGAGAATAGTTAAGTATGTATAGTTTATTCAAACCGTAGAATATTTCATTCTCGTTAAAATAATGTTAATACAAACAAAAATGATACGGTAGTATCACCAGGCTATATTCAGAATAAAGTGATTCACTGAAAATGGTTTATTATTAACAACAAAGAATAAAAATAAACCAGGCATTCTATTCAAGAATACAGAAAAATTAAAAATTAAGCTAAGGAAAACAGATGGAATCAACAAAGACAAAAGCAGCAAAATAAAAATAGCCATGAATAGGCTTTTTGGAAAGACCAATAATTAACCAAAATCCTGGCAACAGACATAAAGGAGAAGGACCATACTTACATAGTGTTTGAAATGAGAAAGAGGATGTAGCCAGAAACATAAAAGCAACTAAAAAAAAAAAAAAGAAAAAGAATGAAATTGAAACTATCAGTGAAATAGATTTGAAAATACCAACTAAAAAATTCTTAAGAAGAAGTAGGAATTGTAAGTAATGTAATAACCATGCTGGATTTTGTAATTTATCAAGGATTCACCATTGATTAGGCTCCAGCCTGGAACACCTCGCAGGTGAGTTCTTTCAGACTATTCTTAAACTGTTGAAATGACTCCAGATTTCTGATAGGAATCTTCAAGTTAAGGCATATTTATTTTCTTCTTTTTCTTAAAACCTACCAGAAAGAGAAAGGAAAAAGAGTCATCGACCATCTACAGTGATACAAGGAAACGGTGTCGACTACCCCCTCAGACTGCAAAGCACTGTCCAAATGTGATATGTCTACTGAGAAGAGAGCTTGCTGAGAGGTGTTCTCAACCTTCTGCAGGATACAGATTTCTCCTAAAGTTAGTGCTGTAGTCCTAAAAGGGGAATTCGTGAACCTCCGTCTACAGCTAGAGGAATGGAACAGTCCTGGGAGATGTGGAGACTTAGTTCAAAACCACAAAAACGCAAGGAAGGACAATTGAACAAAACACCTTGTTGTGTCATTTTTATTGTCTCTAACCAGCCCTCCGAATTGAGCTGGGTGCCTGGAGTAAGGTAGAGTGACCCAAGGAAAGGAGGGTAGCGGTTGCAGATTGCATCAGAAAGGTCAAAGGGCAATACTAGTTAGCAACAGTGTTAACCTTTATCCAACAATTAGTATGTAGCAGGAACTGCTGTAGGTTAAATCTTATCTTGTCTAATTTTCGTAACCTATAAAGGGTTATTATTACCATCCCCATTTTACAGATGGGAAAACAAAGACACAGGGAATTAAAAATACCAGTTCCTTGATCTTGAGCTAGTAAGTGGCAGCATTGGGATTTGATTTCAGTGGGTGACTTCAGAGCCTATGTTTTTAACTATAATCCTCTGTGCCTTCCCCCCTCCTCCCTGCCAGCCCTACTGTTTTTCCCTAGGACACTACAGATTTAGTGAGAATGTAAAGGAGATAACAAAGGAGAAGCTAAAGATTGTCAGCTCACACCTCCTTCCTGTATAGAATGTCCTTCGTCTGGAATCTGGCAGAAGAATCATTCAAAGAAGGGTAAAAATCTTAAGAAAAAATGAACAATAAACATTGTAAAATGATTTGCTCCAAGAAACACAGGAAATGTTCAGTTCAATAGTTCTCTATATTCTCATAAAAATTACAGATAATGTAATATTTCCAAAAATGAGATAAGCTCAGGGAGAAGATTATACAATAATAGGATAATCTGAAAAGCAAGTTGGAAAAGCTCAGAAAGGAAAAGGAAGTGAAACCTAAGACATTACAGAATGAAAGCAACAAAAATAGAAAAAAGGAATGAAAACTCTAGCAAAGATAGGGTGGATGGCTTGGAAATCATATAAAACTAAAAAAGAATAAATGCATTAGAATAATATATAGCAAAGGTAACTAAAGGAGATCTAATATATGCACAACTGGTATTTTAAAAAATGAGAACAGAACAGATGGAACAGACTCAAATATTCAATACTAAGGAGGGTTCAATATTAGAAAAAATAATTAGATGTCATTTATATTATCAATAAACAAAAATAAAAAATATCTTTATAGATGCTAAAAAGGCATTTGATAAAATTTGAAACACATGCTGATTTAAAAAATAAGTTTAGTCAAATAGGATTAGACGAAAATTAATTTGTATTGTATCAATCTCATGCTATTGGATATGCTTAAGGGTTGGAAGACTAGATTTATTCTCATTAAAACCAGAACAAGAACAAAGGTTCTGTTATTATTTAACTTTACTCTGTAATGTTAGCCAACTCAATTATATAAGAAAAATACCTAGAAATGTATTAAAAACATACATGGTAAAGGAGTAATATTATAACTATTTAAAAATAATGCAAATTAAAAAAAATAAGCATATCAGTGAAAGGATAACTAATGTCTAAAAATAGAGGAAAATATAGTGAGTAAGTCTATGAAAAATTCTTTAGCCTTTATAGTAATCAATGGCATACAAATTAAGATAATGAGAAATGATTTATTTTTCCTACTGGAATAGAAACTAAATTTAGTAATGATATCTAAAATTGCTAAGGGTTTGTGAGACATTCTTCAGTACTTGTGGTAAAAGTACATATTTGTACAGCCTTCCAAAAGTCTTGAAAATGAAGTCTTAAAGAAGTTATTACAGTTTGACTCAGCAATTTCACCTCTAGACATTTCTCCTGAGGAAATAATTGGACAACATGTGTTCAATATAAGCCAGGATCTACCTTTAAACTTTTTATTTCAGTTCTTTAATAGCGAAAAGTTAGAGGTACCTAGGATGTTTACAATCTATTGTTAAATAAGAAAAACTATTCAGAAAGTTTTGTATAATTTTACCCTTTAAAAAAGTTTGGAAATATGTATAACAAGAATTTTTATATCTAGGTGGCAGGATGATTGATTTTATTGCTTTTATTTATATTTTCTAATTTCTTCTTCAATGATCATGTATTTGTATAATAAGTGTAAAAGTTATGTTCATAAGAAACTTTTCAATATATCATGTTATATAGAGAAAACAATATAAACATTTCTTACTCAGTTTGATTCCAAGTGTCAACCAAAATGCTTAGGAAAAAACCCCTGGAATTAAACTAAAATGTTAATGGTAGTTGTTTCTGGGAGATGAAATTATGAAGGATCTTTATTCCTTCTTGTATATATTTGTCTCCACTGTCCTAAAATAAATGTTTTCATTTTTGCAATTAAAAAACCCACAGAATTCCAAAAGCCAAGCAAGAAAGATGAAGGAAAGTAACCCTTATCCTATTCATTAAATTAAAATCTGTTCCTCCTTTGCCCTAGTTCATTAATCTCTAGCTTTAAGTGTGACCCCAGTAGGGTACTCCTTTGAATCACATTGTTTTCCCATCCATATTTTATATTCCCTCCAGGAGGCTTATTCTGAGGAAATGCACCAATTAAGACTATAAATTCAGAAATGGAAGTATAAAAAGAGCCCTACCTCGTGGTATCACGCTTCTGACCACTGCAATTTTCAGATGTTCTCGAGGATCAAAGACAGGACTACATCTGTCCATGGTTTTCACTTCATCACCTTGAGCTTGAAGTAATTAAATAGGAATAAAGAGATAATCTGCTTGTGTTGAAATAAGGTTTGAAGGAACTTCAGATTCCTCCTCCATTATTTTCTTCTTTACTTGTAATGCTATCTATTTAGCTTACTGTTTTTAAAAAATGCTAGGTGTTTATTTTAAAAATGCAAACAATAGAAAAAAACATGATACAGGTAAAAAATCACATTAAATTCCAACATAGAAGTATTTGTCATTAACAATTGGTGAACCTCACTCAAGGTATCTCTTTGTGGATGTGTTCAGAAAGAGAAAGAGACTGGATCAATAGCAAGAAGTAATTTAAGGAAAAATGGCATCAGTCTGTACACGCTATTTTTTTTTAAATAAAAATTATTGAACTTACTTTAACTTAAACCAAAGGAAAAAAGTGAAATGGAAATAATTTCTGAAGTTCAAATTAACATTTCATCAGCAGAAGACATCATACGTCCTGAAAGACAACACTAATGTTAAGGAAAAACAGATTAAGAAAAACTTTACAGGATAAAAGTCACACATATATAAATGTATACATATATATGCATGATTATATATATATATGCATACATATTGTTTAAATATTTTATATTTTAAAATGCATATTTAAAAACATATATTTTTAACTTTTCTCCCAAATTACACTTTTTTCTTATGGGAGACTTTTCTAACCTTTTGTGTGTCTGTCTATCCTACTAAACGTTTTAGAGTTTGGAGTTAAATTGAAGAAAGAAGTGGCTATCTTAACCACTGGAGGCCAAGGGTTTGATTTATTTCCACAGTGAACAGGATGCAAGACAGGAAAGACGTGCCCATCAGCACGCACCACCACTGCTGGATTCCAGTATTCCTGCATCTGCTATACACAGGCAAACCAGTCAGCCCCTCAGTGCTCACACCACGGGTGACACTTGTCAGGGCTGACCTTACAGTGCGTCCGATGTGGCTTACATTTATTTGCACATAAAATCCTAAGGGAAAAAAAAAAAAAGTAAGAAATCTCATATTCCTCTAATCCTCTTTCATGGTCCCAAGATTCACTAGCTATACAAGCAGATGTAGGTTTTTTTCCTCGGTGTGGTCATCCACCACTTTCCAGGCAGACCTAGATTCTCCAGTAGTTCATAGTCAGAGACTACAGTTTGTAAATGAAAGCTGGTAGCCTGGTGGAGCAATAGTGGGAGAACTTGCCTGCATTTATTGAGTCTTTGCAAAAGGGAGAATTGAAGAACTGCCTAGATGGTAGTTTATAATGTTAATCCTTAAACTGCTCATGCTTCACCTGGAAGCTTGTAAAATATATTGAGATTCTTTGCCGGCTCTCTCACCAGGGCTGACACACTTAGCCCCCAGTGCTGGAAATACTGGCTTCCGGTAGAGCAGGCCACACCCTTCACTGAAATTGCCCTCAGCTTCAGGGAACTGCCCACCCAAGGTGACACACCCTCAAGGAGATGGCCTGCGGTCTATGACTGACCGAGGCAGGACACAAAGGCCCAGCCCCAAAGCTCAATTTGGGATAACTCTGAAGGGTCACTCCAGCTCCAGAGCTCCCTGTGGGATTGAACGAGGTTCAGTTGCAACAGCGTTGTACGTCAACCTCACCTTTTGCCAGGTTTTGCCTTCCTCACCTGACTACAGCTTTATCTCTTGAGGGCATTCCCCAAAATACCTCTGCACAAAATGTAAGACAACATCCTCACTACTGAATTTTATTTAATTTCAAGGATTTCCTTTTACTTCTTCTTTTTGGTGTGTGTTAAGATGTCCTTTTTTAAAAAACAAATTCATGGTGATGATGGATCGTAATTATAATGTATGACCATGGCTCTGGAATTTCTTTCCAAGCAATAAGACCAACAGGCAGATAGGGAATGCAACATGAATTCCTAGGTACACATGTATCCGTGCTGTTTTGACCATGTCAAAGGGCATAATGACAGGCAACCGTGGCCAAGATGACTTTGGCACACAGTCTCGGGCTCTCCCTTTGAGTGACCAGCTAATCTCTTCCCTTATGATTTTATTCTTCCTTCTATTCTCATGCTCCTCCCCTCAAAGCTCATTGTAACATCATCAGCATGAGTAGCGGTGCCACCTAAGTGGCGGCGAGGAGGACAAGCTGGAGAGGTGCTATGAATCTCTGTTTACATGGCCAAATGCCAACTGAGTTGGTTGCTCAGGTGACTCAAGGTGGAATCCAGAACAGACACTCCTGCCTTCTCTCTCTTGTGTCTTCATATATCATCGTGACTCTGGCATGCTCTATTAAGACACTTTGTACATTTAAGTTCAATTGACAGCATACAACATATTTTCAAGAACATAAAATAACAGAGTTTCGCATTCAAACTTTTTGATGCCTACATTTTACGCATGTATTACTTAAACTAATACGTTTCTTCCCAAGCCAACAGGCTGCCAAATCTGCTTCTTTCCACAAGGCCAATGTCTTTGTGGTCCAACCGATCTCTTCCAAGCTCACCTCATCTCTCCCAGCCCCAGTCACCCTCACTGAGTCTGGGTAGTCGGTCTTCCACTGTCTTTCCAGTCTGTCGTTATGCCCTGTCTCTTTTAGAGCTTTCCCTTTGATTCTCAAGAGCCTTTTCGTCTTTCAGCAAAGCCCATCTCTTGCAATTCAAAAGTTTTGCCTTCCGGAACTATTGCTTCTGCTAATAGCTTTAAAAATCTATTTTAGAAGTAAAACATCTCAACAATTATGGTTTTTCTTGCTTTTCCTGCTATAAGGAATTTTATTATCCTAGAAACAACGTGGATGCTTCTGACCCACTAGGAGAGAGATCATTGTATGCAAGGGAGTATAGAAAACAATTCTGATACATTGGGCAGCATAAATCAATCAAACATTCAGGAAGCTGTGTTGCAACCCCTGTGCTGCTATGTCTTGTGCTTGGATAGACAGCTTCAAGGTGTGTAGTCACTACCTGTGATGCATGTGGAACTAGTCACCCCTCTTGTAGCTCATCTGTTAAAAGTTTCCCAATATTCTTCCCTGTTGAGCCAAGACATAGCTTCTCAAAATCCCATTCTTTTCAGTCTCTATCATTTGATCAGTGTTGAGTTTAATCAAGATTAACTCTATTACCCATCACCTTGGTCTTCTGGGTGCAGGTTTAAACAGGGTTTGGGAAGGGAAGCGTGAATACAAATTCAGGGGATCTCCGATGAGATTTCTCTCCAATATTTCCTAGTGGTGATTCATGGAACCCATGGGTTTTGCAGAATGTATTCAGAATCTCCATCTTTCTTAATTCAGCCCATAGAGGGTTTTAAAAATCTATAACAAAGATGCAGATGAAACTTTGTAACTAGCTATAGGAAGCCATGTTCTAACTAAGCTGCTTTCCATTTTCTAATTAAACCCTAATTAGAACTCATAATTTAACTGAGCTGTATTAACACTCCCTGAGCTATGAAAGGCTTACTATGGTTGTTTAAAACCCATGGGTGTTGAGATAATAGCAAAGCTGTCTCACCTGAGTGTGGAGAGATTTAAATATAGAATAATCTCCTGTATTTGGTGGTGACTTTGAGACATGTTTCATAAAATGGGTTTTCCATAGGCTGTCAATTCTTTCAGCCATCTTTCACTCTGTTCACAGGTACCATTTTAAAATATAGCCCTGATAATCTCAAACCTTTGCCTCCATCCATGGCTTAAAACCTCTGTTGGCTACAAAATATAGTCGAAAGTTATTATTACCTTATACATGTGACCCTGCCTAAACTTCCCAAACCAATCTCCTCACAAATGCCCTCACTCTTGACCTCTCCCTCCACCAAGCTTACTCTTGGGTCATACTTCAACACTTGCCATGCCACCAACCCAGAGATATTGTCTCTCCTCCATGTTTTCACACATGCTTTTAGAGTTGGACTGTTTTTCCTCTCTTTTCTGTGTCACAGCTACTAAGCATCTTTAAGATGGTGTGGTAATGAAGTGTGGACTCTGGATTTAGGCAGCATTGGATTTGAATGCCCGTTTGTATGGTACTTACTAGCTATGTGACGTTATACAAGCTGTGCCATTCTCCTCCACCCTGCCACAAAAAAAGGGTTCTTGTGTTCTGCTCAGATGAAAAATAAAAGCAAATAGAGGCAATTACATGTTTATAGTCATGATCAAAAAGGAGAAAATTGGGTGAAATTGGAGATTATTACTTACAGTTATGATGTGGCATGGGAATAAGTGTTTCAGGTTCCTATCAACTTTTCCATACCACAAAGTGGCAGGCATAGCTATCCGAACAGCTTGAGAAATGTGATTTCATTTCAACAGGTCAGTTGTAAGTGGCTTCCTTGGGGATAGGTGATAGCCAGTGTCGAGGCCCTCCAGCCAGATACTACAAGGAACACACCTGCAGCTGAAGTTAGCTTTATCACTCAGGAAGAGTGTGTGAGAACCTCTTAGAAGTTTTGGGCTTTGGTTGGGTGGTTTTAGGAGGGTCTAAGGAAGTGGAGGTTTGCTGTATATTGGGTGCTGTCAGAAAGCAGAGCAATTCTATGGTTGAGTATGTCAATCAATCTTATCTATAGGAAGGGCAGAATAAATTAAGGAAAGCAAGGGATTGTGCTGCTTTGAATGGTTTTAAATTTCACATGAAGAGCTTCATATATATTGTTCAATTTATGTCTTTTGTTTGATGTGTTTGTGAGATTTCATCCATGTTGAAGCACATAATCCTAGTTCACCCATTTTCTTAGTTATGTATCCATTCTCTTACAAATATGCTCTAACTTATTACTGATTTTCCTGTGTTGGACATTATAATGCTTAGGGGTTTTTTTTGTTGAAAACAATATCACTATGAATACTTTCGTACACATTTCCTGCTGTAGAGGTGGGTGAAATTCTCTCAGATTTATATGTAGGAGTGGAATTTCTGAGTCATAGAGTATGTGTCTGAAACTTTAGTTCTTGAAACTGATCACATAATTTACCCACCCACCAGCAGTGTAGGAAAGTTCCCCAGTCTCCATATTCTGCCAATGTTTGTTATTGTCCGACTTTAAAGTTTTTGTGATATGATGGAGTGAAATGATATTTTGATTTGCATTTATATTTTCCTATTTACTGTCTAAATTAGGCAACTTTTCCCATAGTATTTGCCATCCAAGTGGTATTGTTCATCTGAATTGGTGGCTCATATCATTTGTCTATTCTTCTATTTTTGATTGTGTGCCTTTTTATTGATTGGAGAAGGTCTTTGATTGCACTGCATGTGATATTTTGTTGGTTGTATGGTTGCAAGTCCCATCTTGTAAAGTGTGGGTTATTTTTTCCATTTTAT